ATGGGGAGGAAAAGCGAGGAGAGAGGACTCCCAGTCAGAATCCCAGCAAGTTGTTTTGTAGACCTTGACAACCGGATTCCAGATTTACAGGGACAGGCAAAAGATGCAGAGTAGCCAACGTGTTTAAGAACAAAGTTAGAGGACTGATATTATCCAATTTCAAGACCTTGTACTGTATAAAGCAATAGTAATCAAGACAGTGTTCCATCCTTTTCTGATTCTAATTAGAAGGATAGTACAAGTATTAGAAAAGAAGGAAGAAAGAAAGAAAGAAAGGATTTTCCTAAACTGCCTGCCTCAAACTCCATGAGGACCTTAGTAACCTTCCAGTGATGGCACCCTGAAGGGCAGGGGTTTGGTTTTGTTTGAGACAGGATTTCACGGCTTAGTCCTGCTTGCTGTCCTGGAAGTGCTCTGTAGACCAGGCTGGCCTTGAATTCAGAGGTCCTCCTCGCTCTGCCCACTGAGTGTTGGGATTAAAGGTGTGTGCCACTATTGCCTGGCAAGTTTATCTTTTAAAGACTTTTGTGAAAACCTGTATTTTACTGGTGAATGAATAGCCAAACAGATCAGTGTAATAGAATAGAGGACCCAGAAATAGACCCCACACAACAGTCAAGGGATCTTGGAAAAGGAATAAAGATGATATGATGAAGAGGTGTCTACTTAACAGAAAATGCTGGAACAACAAGATACCCACATGCAAAAAATATATAATTTATCTACAAATCTCCTATGCCATTCATGAAAGTTGACTCAAACTGGACTCCAGATCTGAATGTAAAACGCAAAGCCGAGGGCTGGTGAAATGGCTCAGAAGTTAAAAGTACTTGCTGCTCTTGAGAAGGACCCAGGTTTGGTTCCTAGCACCCACACTGCGGCTCACAATTATTTGTAACTCACATTGTTGTTTCAATTTACATTTCTCTATAAGTCAGTGGGTGAGTATCTTTGCCTGGGGAAACAATGTCGTCTTCCAGCCTCTTCAGACACCAGGCACACACTGGGCACAAACATACATGCAAGCAAACATTCATGCATATAAAATAAAGATAAATCTTGAAAATGCAAAGTTGTAACACTTCTAGGCAATGCAGGAGAAGATACAGATGACCTCGGGTTTGCTGATGATTTTTTGGATAAAACACCAAAGGTACTGATGTCAGCAAAATGAAATATTTCTGTTCTGTGAGTGACACATGGGCTGAGAGAAAATTCTTACCAAAGACTTATCTGACAGGGACTGTTGTCTAAATCTTACAAAGCTTCTTGAAACTCAACAATACAAAAAACTCAAACAAACAAACAAACAAACAAAAACCCAACCAACCAAAAACCGATTTAAAAAATGGGCCAATGGGCTGGAGAGATGACTCAGAGGTTAAGAGCACTGGCTGCTCTTCCAGAGGTCCTGAGTTCAATTCCCAGCAACCACATGGGGGCTCACAACCATCTATAATGAAATCTGGTGCCCTCTTCTGACCTGCAGGCAGACATGCAGGCAGAACACTATACATAATAAATAATTCTTTTTTTTTTCCTTTTCTTTTCCTTTTTTTTTTTTTTTTTTTTTGGTTTTTCGAGACAGGGTTTCTCTGTGGCCTTGGAGGCTGTCCTGGAACTCACTTTGTAGACCAGGCTGGCCTCGAACTCACAGAGATCCGCCTGCCTCTGCCTCCCGAGTGCTGGGATTAAAGGCGTGTGCCACCAACGCCCGGCTTAAATAATTCTTTAAAAAAAAGGGGGCCAACACCTGAACAAACTCAATAAAGATGTAAAGATTCCACAGAAACACTTGAAAAGATGATCATACACTATGTTATAGAGAAATATAAATTGATACTGCTATCCAATTACTGAAGTGGCCAAAATCCAGAACACTGATACTGAGGAGGATTCGGAGCAGGTTCTAGAAGAATAGTAGTTTCTTCTAAATGAACTTCTCTCTCTCTCTCTCTCTCTCTCTCTCTCTCTCTCTCTCTCTCTCTCTCTCTCTCTCTCTCTCTGTCTCTGTCTGTCTCTCTGTCTCTCTGACATGGCCTCTCTATCTATGAGTTCCACACTTACTATCCAGTCAAGGTCTAGATTCAAACTTGCAATTCTCATGTCTCTGCTTCCTGAGTTCTGGGATGACTCAAATGCACTATATCTGGCCTAAACACAATCTTACCATATAATCCAGTAGTTCTGCGGGTGAGAAAATCTTAAATGTGCATGCTAGTGCACACTCTCTCTCTCTCTCTCTCTCTCTCTCTCTCTCTCTCTCTCTCTCTCTCTCTCTCTCTCTCTTTCCATTATACAAATGTTTACAGCAGCTTTTTTCTGAGTCAGAAGAAACCTCCTTCAGTAGATGGATAAATATACACCCAGTGATATATCCATACTATGAAACATTACTCAGTGCTAAAAATAAGTAAATTAACCAAAAAGAGAAAAATGAAAGTTAAATGTGTGTACTAACAGAAAGAAGCTGATATGAAAAGTGAATATATTGTATTATTGTAATTTTATGACAGTCTTGAAAAGGTATAACTAAGCTGGGCGGTGGTAGCACACACCTTTAGAAGCAGGCATATCTCTGTGAGTTCTAGGCCAGCCTAGTGTACAAAGTGAGTTCCAGGATAGGCTCCAAAGCTACAGAGAAACCCTAAACAAAAACAAGGCGCTGGAGAGATGGCTCAGAGGTTAAGAGCACTGACTGCTCTTCCAGAGGTCTTGAGTTCATTTCCCAGCAACCACATGGTGGCTCACACAACCATCTACAATTCAATCTGGTGTATACGTAATAAATAAATCTTAAAAAAACAAAAACAAAAAAAGACAAAAAAAACAACAAAACAAAAACAAAAAGAAAGAAAAAGACAACTAGAAGAGTAAAAAGATCAGAGTTTACAGAGAGTGGATTGGTAGAGCATAGGGTTTCTGAATGTATGAAGGCAGAAGCCACTTGGAAATCTGTGTACCTAATCCTCAGTTATACTAAAAGCCTAAAATTGTTTGAAGAAATTAAGTCCATTAGAAGTTACATCTGAAGAGTTTATTGGTGTAATATTGGTACGACATTACAGTATAACTAACTGCTCTCTGACTTTGAGGCCTGCTCCACGGGAAGCATTCAGGCCTGGTACTGTAAACTCAGTCAAAAACCCATATCTATGGAGGCCACAGGAGTTAGAGGAATTTTACTGTAGCTGTTTAGCTAAATTGACATGCCACCAAATGCCTTCTAAGTACTTATGCTTAATGAGAGAAGCTTCCCTTTGCAATGAACTTCAGTGAGTGCAGAGAGTTGGGGAGAAGTGGTGGGGGAGTGCTCTGCCCTAAGCAGGACTTTTTTATACCACCCATCCTAAGGCTCAGGGAACAGTGCAGCAGTGGAGACAAAAAAGAATGCAAGAGCCAGAAGGTAGGGAGAAGGGCTTGGACAAGTTATCCTCTGGGCATGACAGCCATTGCAAACATTCTTTCACAGCAGCTGCAGCTGCCTGCCGGAGCCTGGTTCTGCTCTGGGTCAGAGAGGAGCTCACAAGGCTATACCTTACCCCGTTGAACTATTACCTACTAAGGAATCCCGGGCCAAGAATTCTGCCTAAGAATGTGCTGTTTTGGTAAACCTCCATTGTCTTTAGTTGGGTACCCATAGGGGAGTGTACCAGTCTCCAGTAACTAGTTCAAAACCCATGGTCACACAGACAGCCACACAAGACATGATCAAAGAGGAGAGAAGGACATGGGAGAGCAGGAAGGTTGAGTCAAGGAGCCACTATAGGTTTGAGGAAAGATCTGGCACTAGGGAGATTTCCAGAGATCTACAAGGATGACACCAACTGGTAAACTAGGCAATAGTGGAGAGACTACCTTAAATGACCTCCCCCAATAATGCGATTGATGACTTCCTTATAGGCTATCCTAGAGCCTTCATCCAGTGGCTGATGGAAGCAGAGGCAGACCCCACAGCTAAACACTGAACTGAACTCCTGGAACCCAGTGACAGAGAGGAAGGAGTGATAAGCAAAGGAGTCAATACCTGGCTGGTGAAATCCAGAGGCAGCTGACCTGAACAAGGGGAAGCCCTCCGACCCCAGGCTGGTGACTGAGAGGCCAGTATGGAACTGATCCAGACCCCCTGAATGTGGGTGTCAGTGAGGAGGCCTCGACAATCTATGGGGCCTTGGATAGTAGACCAGTATTTAGCCCTGGTGTACAAATAAACTTAGGGAGCCCATTCCACATGGAGGGATGCTGTCTCGGCCTGGACACATGGGGGAGGGCCTAGGTCCTGCCTGGAATAATATGACAGACTTTGAAGATACCCCATGAAGGGCCTCACCCTCCCTGGGGAGCGGAGGGGGGGATGAGGTGGAGGCTTGGGGGGGGTAGGTGGGGGGCCGGAGAGGAGGGGAGGGTGAGAGAGCTGGGATTGACATGTCAAGCAAGCTTGTTTCTAATTTAAATAAAATTTAAAAATGGAAAAAACACATAGTCACATAAGACAAAACGAAAAGATGTGAATATGAGAGAGAAAGTGACTTGTAGGGAGGGGGTTACTGACTGGGTGAAAGGGATGGATGAGAGGATGGGTAAGTTTGACAGAATACTTTATACACATGTATGAAGCTGCAAAGAACAAATCTACCAAAAATGTTTTTTAAAGAAGAGTTACATTACTTTCAATTTTTAAAAAAGATTTATTTATGTTTATGTGCATTGGTATTTTGCCCAAATGCTTGTCTGTGTGAGGGTGGTAGATCCCCTGGATCTGGAGTTACAGACAGCTCTGAGCTGCCCTCTGGGTGCTGGGAATTAAACTGAAGTCCTCTGGAAGAACAACCAGTGCTCTCAACCTCTGAGTCTTCTCTTCAGCCCCCTATTTGGATTTTTGTTGTTGTTTTTTGAAAACAGGGTTTCTCTGTGTAGTCCTGGAAATTGCTCTGTAGAGCAGGCTGGCCTCAAACTCAGAGATTCACCTGCCTCTGCCTGCCAAGAGCTGGGAATAAAGATGTGGACTGCCATGTCTGGCTGTTTATTTTTTAAAATCAGAGTAACAGTATGGACAAACCTTGAATATCATCCACACAGTGAAACAAGTCAGATAGATGCATGATTCTACTTGCTTCTCTCAAAATGGATCAATTCACAGAGAGCAGAGTGCTGGTTGTCAGGTGCTGGGGAGGCAAGGGAAAAGAGAGATACAGTTTCAATGGCACAGAGTTCAGTTTGGGAAGATGGAAAGATTTTACAGATGGATTATGGTACAAAACATAAGGTCACTGAATTGTACGTCTAGAGATGGTTAAAATGGTAGATTTTGTGTATGCATAATTTTCCACAATAAAAATATTTTTAAAATATAGGTTATTCCATGTTAGCATGTGTATTTTTACTGTTGGCTATATTTTCCAATCAAAAATCTTAGTAAGAGGGAATGCCATTGTTTTACATGCAAGCCTCCTGGTTGTTTGGTGTACTAGAAGATAACTTGGTTTTGTGTGTCTCTGTTTCCAGTCCACGACAATGTGTTGTTTCAGCTAATGTTTGCGATAACCTGGCCTCATTAGATGCACAGTGGTGGGGAGGACCATTTCAATTCCCTCTCAGTAACTGTGAGTACTTCAATACTTCTTCAGCGGTACAGAAACACTTGACAAGTGGGAGTTCCTTAAAATGTAGACTCTCTCAGCAATTCAGAGTTCCAAATGTCACATTGCAAAGTCTGTCAGAAAAAAAAAAACAAAACATTTGTCACTATCACCACCAACCTCAAAGAAAAGTCTTTTGTTGTTGTTGTTGGTTTTTGCTGTTTTTTTTTTTAAAGAAAAGCCTTAAAGTACTGGGAAGATGTTAAATTCCAAGATGGTAAATGTATTTTCCAAAAAAATTGAATTTTTTGAAAATGCAGTATTAACAAATATAGTATTATTATCGTATTATTTAATAGTGCTAGCAAATATACCCAGCTGTTTCCCTTGGAGAGGCAGGCTCACACACATGATTTTAGAAAGTAGCTTTCAGAAACCCAACTCTAAGTGATCACAGCTGGCCTTTGGGTCCTTCAGGTAATAAAAGTCAGTGATTCAGAATCTAGTCTTCTTAAGACTTTTATAGACAGCAGTCTTTTATATATACTTCCCATTCATCAAATAACATGTTAAGAATGCATCTACTAATCTTAATAACCTGAGTCACAGAGGGGAACCTCTGTATTCTGATGAAACACTAGGCAATACCTATTTCTACTATAATAACAAATTATAGGGGATTATATGTTCTCTCTGTCTGTCTGTCTCTCTCTCTCTCTAAATTAACCATAGAGTTTATTATGGGTGGAGAGGGAGAGCAAGAGGGGGCAGAGAAGAGACGAGAGGAGGGTAAGAGAAGAGAGCATAAGTGGGGTGGGTGATGATGGTGGTGGTGGTGGTGGTGGTGGTGGTGGTGATGGTGGCGGTGGTGGTGGTGGTGTCTGTCTTTTAAAGGGGTCCTTTGCACCTGCAGACTAACTCTCATGGAACCCTGGGCTGCCCAGAGTGCTGCCTGAGTGCATTCTGCCAGGTAACAGGGCAGGCCAACATAATACCTGAACCTTTCATTCCCACCTTTATTTATTATTTAAAAGGCGGGGAGTTAGGCATGGCAGGTTAGAGAATAAGGACGCCTAGTTCTCCAGACTGCTTCCTGCTGACCTGGGGGCCGTTGGCCATCTTTGGGGGACCTGAGAATGCTGGGGTGCTGCCACATCTTGGGGTAGCTGGTTGCTCCATCGCCCTTTAGGCTGTTTGGAACTCTCTGACGCCTCTTAGACCTGGCGAGGTGTTAACAGAGTAGAGGAGGAGAAGGTTAAGTCTAGAAAATTCTTTTTTCTTAGGTCCTGGTATTTGAGGGGAGGATTGTAAGATGAGGGAGGGGTTCCTGAGGGGTCCCAAGATGAGGGCAGGGAGTCCTGGGGCCAGGGAGAGATTGAATAATATTTATTTGGAGTGAATCTGACCTGTTTGGGTAGGTCCAGTTCGACTCCCTGGAACTTACAAGAATCCTTTGAGTTTGTGGAAACGTAAGTATTAGACACATTAGCAGCATATTTATGTTAGAAGCGACTTGGTTGAAAGCATTAACGTTTTTAAAACTGACAGATACTTTTAGGACAATGAAAAGCACCTTAATTTTGACCTTGCAGTTATGCCAGCTTTTGCTGCTTCTATCCAAAAAACAAAAAAACCACTAGCCCTGTTTTCAGTAGTTAAACCTTTTAGAGGCTTGAAGATTGAAACCAGGTCTTCACAAATGCTAGGCAAATACTCTTTGAATCACAGTCCAACTCCAACTTACATTCATTTTAATGAATATAAGGAGGAGGGAAAACAAACCAAGATATGGAGCCTTTAATCTCAGCACTTGGGAAGCAGAGGCAGGCAGATCTCTGTGAGTTCAAGGCTAGCCTGGACTACAAAGTGAGTTCCAAGCCAGCCAGGTCTTTGTAGTGAAACATAATCTCAAGCCATTTTGAAAAAAAATGGTGTAGCATAACACCCATTTAGCTAAGGATCCTTGTTTTGATTTTTTTTTAATCTACGTATGTCTTATTTCCTAAGCTCGCAGGACTGGATACATGATGCTGGTTCCTTGATTTCCTCTGTTTATGTAACAATGGTTGTCTGAGCATGTATGTGTAAGGAAGGCACTTGGTAGGGCCTTGAATAGAAGACTCAGGACTCAACAGATTTTTGTTGATAGCTGATAATTACCAACTGTGTTTCTGAGAGAACGTGGTTTTCTTTTCTCTTGAAGCCATGTGCAGGGCACCACAGGTCCGGTTGACAATGCTGTGAAAATGAGGACACCAAGACCCGGAGATTGATTTAAATGACTTGCTCAGAGCTATGCACTTCTTCACAAGCTGAGTGAGGATGCAGAGCCCCTTCGGCTTCTTTGCTGCACAGAGATGCTGGGGACTCATTCAGATTGACTGGATTTCATTTTTCATTTAAACGCTCTCATCTCACTGCTGTGACATCCACCTTCTCTGACTCGGGTTTCAGGAGTCGGAGTCTGAATTGGTTTACTTCCACTTCAGACCCTGTCAAGATAAATTAGATACCAAGGGTCCATGACACCATCTGAAGCACATCTGCTATTAGCAGAAAATATATAAGCAGTTTTGTATTTCAATATAGGGTAGCACTGCTTGGGAAGACATATTTGCTACTAAAAATGAAAGTGGGAATAATAAAACTGAATGAGTTTTGAATATTAAAAAGATCAGAATTTGGATTCACTGCATCTGCAAACAAGCATAGTCAAAGGAAGGGAGGCAACAGTAAATATTTTTATCGCCTTTCGGTGCATCTACAAACCATTCTTCTGAATAAGATCTGACAGGCTCCTGACTGTGAGCAGAGATAGGGTAACAAGTCTGATGATACATAAACTTGCATCAGATACAGGCTCCAGTTTTGCTGTATTCATCCATCCATGGCCTAGCCTGCTCAGCTGACAAGGCATGTTATTAATACAGCATATTGTACCACGAGTGCATTGCCCTACATGGTGTTTATCTTGTTGGGAACTGTAATTGTCTGAAACAATGGTCTCAGTGAGAAGATGTGAAATGTTATGAGCTGTGCAAAGATCAAAATAATTTGTGGTTGTTGGAGACGAATTCAAACAGGAGCATGGAGTTGTGCTACATAGTTAATGCTGCTTGGAGTTAATGATTTGGTCTTGATTTTAATTCTTATTTCTTTTCTAGTCCCTGTAAGATAACTGAATTCTGAGCTAAGCCTTGTGGAGAAACAAAGGTCCCCCCTCCAGAATGTAAGTTCTACTTTGGTGTCCCCATCAATGTCTCCCTAGCATATGGTATGCTACTTGGAAGGAAGCGACTATATAATTGTTTTTTTAATAAAAAGTAGAGGAAAAAATTGAGGGCTAGGGGTGTAGCCAAGCTATTATCTGAATTTTCCTTTGATGAAAATAAGGAGGAAAAAAGGAAGAAAAAGGAAGGAAGGAAGGAAGGAAGGAAGGAAGGACAGGACCCAATTTCCTGAGCATTAGATTAGTAGGAAAGGAGCGAGCAAAAAGGAAGTAACTCTCCCATTGAGAGGCTGAAGACATCACATGGCCCCTACGTTGCTGAGCCCAAAGAGAACCCAATGAAGACTGAAGTGTAAGAGAGTGAACGAAGCCGGGCGGTGGTGGCGCACGCCTTTAATCCCAGCACTCGGGAGGCAGAGGCAGGCGGATCTCTGTGAGTTCGAGGCCAGCCTGGTCTACAAAGTGAGTTCCAGGACAGCATCCAAAGCCACAGAGAAACCCTGTCTCGAAAAAAAAACAAAAAAAAAAAAAAAAAAAAAAAAGAGAGTGAACGAAGCATGTCGTTGGTCCTGCTTCCTCATTCAGAAGGCATATTGTATCTTTTAGTCTGGCTCTTGGAGACCAATAACAGGGACTTTGGTGATCCTCTGACTCTAGGAAATGAAGGAGGAAGTAGAGAATGGGTTAGAAATGCAGTGGGGGCTAGGATGAAAGCAAAGTCAAGATAGCAGACGGAGGGCCAGATCTTGGAATGACTGGGTTACCTGTCCATTGAGATAGTAAAGACGGAATCTTTACCATCATGGAGAGGACAGGACAATTTAGAGGCAACAGAGCAACAATAAATATTCTGAGGTACAGGAAGGAAGCCTATGGGAATCTAAGGCACAGTCTCTTTCCTTAGGGTTTTTGTTTGTTTGTTTGTTTGTTATCCAGGTAAAATTGATGCTCTTTGGCTTATACCCTTGCATGGGCTGTCTTCAAGCAGCATGGTGGATAGATGATTGTTTTGTTTTGTTGTTTTGGGACAGAGGTTTCTCTGTATAGCCCTGGCTGTCCCTGGAATTTGTTCTGTATCCTGGGCTGGCCTCAAACTCAAGAGTACAGGGATTAAAGGCATGTGCTACCACACAAAGAATAGATTATACATGGTGTTCCTCTTACAAGTAATCAGTTTAGGATGCTAAGTCAAATAACGTGGCACAATAGGGCCCAGTTCTGCTAGCGTTTTCTAAAAGGAGCTTTGCTCCAGAGAGGGAGAAAACACACTCCCTTCACATCTGATGCCAAGACTTATTAGAGCTGTGGTGCAGCAGTGAAGGTTTACTGTCATCAGAAGAGGGTACCCCAGAAAGAAGTGCACTGAGGACCTGGATAATGTCTGTGAATTACTCCTAACCACTCCTGGGCTTCCATATAACATCTCAGGAGATGATAAAGTCCTCATTTTTCAAAAGCCACCTCTAGTCAGGACTTTTTTGTTGCTAACATTTTTGTGGCTAGCTTTATTTGTTTCTACTAACACAGGATGTGTTTGTGAATGCTTGGGCATAAAACACCTGAAATGGAGATGTCACTTTCCCTCATACCCTTTAGCTCCTTCCCTGTCCTTCTGGAGTCAAAGATAAAAGACAAAAAGCACTTCTCTCTTATAAAGGAAACACATTTAGTTGGGGTGGTTTACATTTTCAGAGGCTTAGTCTATTATTGTGGTGTGACAGGGTGGCATGCAGGTAGACAAGGTGTTAGAGAAGTAGCTGTGAGTCCTACCTCTGGACTCACAGGCAACACGATGTGGTCTGAGACTCTGGGCGTGGCTTGAGTGTGTGTGAGACCTCAAAGACGCCCTCCACAGTGACACACCCCCTAACTGTGCCACTCCCTTTGGGGTCATTTTCCTTCAAACCACCACAGGTCTCACAGGCATACATGTCTAAAACCCTAAGTCACAGCTTAGCCTCAAGTGGGGAGTTCACTAACAGCCCTATTCTGCACCTAGTGGTGCTTTGCTGCCCTGGGGCAGAGCATGTGGAAATGGCTGGGACATATGCAGAGGAGGATACGGAAATGCAATTAGCTGGGTTGACTAGATTGTAGTTCTCATAAACACCACATAGCACCTAACAGAATTCTACCTATAGTTTCTCCATGTGCACATTAAACTGAAATGAGACTATAGGCAGATGGTCAAGTGGTTTTCTCTCACAGAATTCCCCTTTAGTGTCTTTCAATGGTATCACTTTCCCTCCTAAAAACTAAGCCTTCAATATTCTCAGCTGGTTAAGTTTATTTTTATAACACACTTTAAGACAGGGAGTGGCAGCATAGTTTTACTTGCCAAGAAGCAAGACACAAAGAAATGATCTGACTTGGCCACCATCCCAGAGGGCATCTACGGCAGAACCTGAATGGTCCTTTAGTACTGAGGGCTCTGGGGCTTTTGTTCTGATGTCCCTGTATATAATTGTTTTGATAGCAATTTCTCTGGTTCTTTCTCACTAGCCTGTTAATCATTCATGTCAATCACATTCAAGAACATCATGGGCCTAAGGGTCAGCCACAGTCTCAGGAGAACAGAATCCAAAAACAGAAAATAGGAGCTGGAGAGATGGCTCAGGGGTTAAGAGCACTGCCTCTTCTTCCAAAAACAGAAAATAAGGCAAAACATAGCATTTTCTCCTTCAAGCGTGTATGTCAGTCGTGGCCCTCATAAATCTGACAGTGTGTGCAGGAGAAAGTTGAGGACCTCCGCCCTGGGCTGCAGAAAGGATAGGGTCTTAGACCAAGTGAGCGAGAACCCTCCAGGGAAGCAATGGGTTCTCCACCTAGTCTCTAAAGAACCAGGAAGGAAGTCCTCCTTTCCTTCCTCTTCAAAGGTTTCCCCCTTGTAGCGTCCCTGTGCAATCCCGGACGTAGGACTGTGGTGGAGCGCACGTGCCAACCTCCTACTCGACCCTTGGCCATCTTGCTCCAGTTCACTTTCACTTTAGAGAGCTGAATCCTGGGGCCCGAAAGAGCTGCGCCCAGGAAAAAAAAAGGCCACAAGACTCAGGGCGACCTCTGGGCTCGGACCCCGGAGTGCGCGTGCGCGGGGAAGCCCCGGGCTAATCCCCTGCCACTCATCCTTGAGGACGCTGGCGTTCCGGCCGCAGCGCCTGGAGCCTCGCGCCGGGGCCCAGCTGGGCCGCGCGCGCGCGGAAGGACAAATAGTCCCGTCGGCTGCTCCGCACGCCCCTCCGAGACTGCGCTCGCCCCGCCCGAGCGGCCCGGCCTCGGCCTCGGGCGGCGGGAAGTGGGCGGCCGCTCGACCCCCGCTTCTCCCTCTGGGGCCTGGCGGGTGTACGAAGCTCCTCAGGGAAAAGTAATTGGATTCCGGGCTCTGCGCTGCCGAGAACGGCGGAAAGCCGCAGCTGAGGCTGCAGCGCGTGGGCGGGGGAGGGACGGGTGAGACGCCGCTGGCTCTCCCGCGCCCCGGCGACCTCACCAGTGCAGGCCGCAGCTGAAAGCCGGCCGCCGCGGGGAAGGGCTAGCGCGCTCGCCCCCGGGGCCCCCGATGCGACGCTCCTCACTCCTTCGCTGTCGCCATCTAGTCTGTGGAGCTCACCTGGTTGACGACACCCGCCCACAGAAACGGTTGGGAGAGCATCCCTCAGGGTTTCTCCCAAAGCTCTGAGGTGCGGCTGAGGTGGGAAAACAACCCTTCATCCAGTGTGCAAGTGGAGCTTTCTCTTCCTCACGAAAGTCACAGAGACCACAGTAGGAAAGTACCTCACGTCCTTGCTTTGGTGACTGAGTCCCCCAAAGTTCCCTTTCCTCTGGGATTTATCACAAGTGGGAGCCTTAAACAGGTTTTTTTTTCTCCCACCCCGGCTGCTGAATTGGTAGAAATGTTCTAGAACTTTTAAACGACTAACTCAGTAGCCCTTCTGATATATATAATCAGTATATTTTAATTCCCTCATTACATCTCCCACATTAGTTCATTATGGTTTTCTTCTGTACCAGGCTCTATTCTACTTTTCAGGAACGTATCAGTGAATAAGCCAAAACTTTCTGAGCTCTTGGACTCCGTTACAGTTGATGAGATACACAATTAAGTGCCATGTCATGGTAAGTGCTGAGAACCAGTAAAACTGCGTGGCAAAGAGGGGATGCAGGTTGAAGTGATGCTCGGTTTGTATCTTAAGCGAGTTGATAGAAAGATCTTTCCTAAGAAGTTGTGTTTAAAACTGGGGTCTGAGTTAGAAAGCCAAGCAAAACAT